AGCGAACTGATTTCATGTTTTTGTACCCAAATTTGAAATGGGACACTAGAGAAGTCCCTGGGAAGTCACAAAATTAATCAAGCATTTAGCATTCAGTTGGGAAATTACTGTAATTTGGCATCAAAACTAATAATGTGGTTTATTATTTTTTTCTGCTTTTTTGTAAAACAGCAAATTTGAACATTTGTGGATAACCAAAATAATTATATTCTAGCATTAAAAATATCATTACGGTGAAAGAGCTTGTACACAATGGTGGATTAACGATTACAGAAACATAAGAAATCAATTTGGTAATTACCAATATTGTTAATTTAGGGCAGCTGTAGCATAAACCTTGCACTGACATCTCTCTCTTTCTGAGAGAGTGTTCCGGTTCAGAAAATGTAATTATAGCTCTACTTGCTAACTTAATTTATCCCATATGTAACAAGATTTTAACAAGTATTAGTTTTTCCACACGATAAATATTTTGGATACCTTAAGCCACAGAAGTTTTTTTGTTACAATAATAAGCCTGCAGACTAATTAGTTTTCAGCAATCCCAAGCAGATCCGTTACGGGTATTAAAATTATGCTTCAAAAACATGTCTTCGTCTGGGTTTTACTCCATCACAAATGCCTTTTCTTTCTTCCTTAAGAGTATTATCCAAAGATTTATCACGTGCCCAGAGCAGCCAAAGCAGTTTTGCATTAGGGGCACCCTTCAATTATGGCTCTCACTGAACAAATTCATTGTGTCAAATAGCTGTCAAAAAGATGAAATAAAACAATATAAAGCTTCAATAAAAACCTAATTATTGTGGAATTGAGACAAAATCGGTTTTGCAACATTCCTGAAACGTATCAATGTATTTCTGATTTACATTCTCTTCTCTGAAAACTGTATTTGAGAGCTTCCCATGTCAGTACATACTAACATGTTATTTCAGCAGGCATCAAGTTCTCACAGTGACTGAAAAACTACTTCTAGTCCTGAAGACATCATGGATACACAGTTTGTGTATGACCTTTTAGGGTAAGAAATACCAAAACTAAACTTTGACTTCTTGATTTCTTTGCTAGCTGTAGTCATACCTTACCGTACTCACAGATGCAGATGTGACAGTCAAATACTTAACATTCTTATTACACATTATTTGATCTCTTTTAGGGAAAAGGCTTGGTTATACATCTCTGCTACCTTCATTGTGTTGTGGATTGTCGGGTGGCTCTACAGAGACAGCTTGGAGATTGAGGATTTCAAAAATAAGTATGTCTTTGTTACTGGCTGTGACACGGGGTTTGGAAACCTGCTGTGTAAGAAACTGGATCGTAAAGGTTTCCGTGTACTAGCTGGCTGTCTCACAGAAAAGGGAGCTGATGATCTGAAAAGAGTGGCAGGGCCTTATCTGAAGACTGTCCTGCTGGATGTGACCAGTCAGGATAGCATTGAAAAAGCAATGGAGTGGACCAAGCAAGAGGTTGGCGATAAGGGTGAGAAATGATTTCCTACAGTTACATATGCGATTGTAGGACATTATTAGATCACACAAGGCAAGCCTGTAAACAAAACACAACATCATTGTTTCCTTGTTTTGTCTTTTTATTTGCTTTGTAGGACTTTGGGGTCTTGTGAACAATGCTGGACGTTCATTACCCATGGGTCCATCCGAGTGGATGAAAGTGGAGGATTTCCACAGCACACTGAAAGTAAACATGAATGGAGTGATCGCCATGACAATGACCTTCCTGCCCCTCATCAAACAGGCTCGTGGTCGTATTGTAAATGTAGCATCAGTGCTTGGTAGAGTGGCAGCAAATGGTGGTGGATACTGCATTTCCAAGTTTGCAGTAGAATCTTTCTCTGACTGCCTCAGGTAAGACTCATTTAAAGGGCTGCTGCAACCATATATATTAGCTTAAGGACCCACTTGGTACTTTCTTCTTATTAAGAAAGACAGACAGTGTATCATAATTAGAAAGTTAGCATGGGTGATACAGTTTTATTACATTTTCAGTGATAAAAAAGACCATCAGTAAATTACAGAGTGCACTAAAAATGCACACCATCTAACCAATTGTACAAATAGACCTAATTTGGCCACAGCGTGCCTCAGAGAAGGAGTTTTGGTTCTGAGGCCAAACGGAGGGAAATGTTTGTCACCCTCACTGACTCACATAGCTACATTAACTCCCTTTTTCTGCCAGGTAGTTGATTATGTTTTCATTAATGACAATGAAAAGCTTGCAGCCTGTGTTATAGAGCTAGCACTGAAACCATCTAAATCTATAAATGAATAGCCTTTATTGTCATTGTACCAGGTACAACGAAATTGGAGTGCCACTCCCTTGGTGCAAAATGCAATAATAAATATAAATATAAAATATAAAAAGTACAATAAAACAACCAAAGTACTCAAAAAATAGTAAGTACGATATATACAGAATAGCACCTAATATTCAGGTTCAGCAAACCTGAATATTAGTTGGTAAGTGGAAACTCAAGACTTTACTAATATTCAGTAGGTCATTCAATAGTATTTGATAGTGATAGAATACAATGTATCAGTTATAAACAATTGATAAGAACTCATTTGCACTCTCAGAAAATCAAGAAAGCCCGCACTGTAAGGGAATACTAATGACAAGTAGAGATTTTTAGACTCATTTGTTGGCTTAAATGCAGATGGCCAATCCGTTTGGCCATTTGATTGGCCTTTCATGATCTACCAATCCAAATATTTTTATTAATATCTCACAAATAAACTGTAAAGCAGATATAAAGCAGGACATGTGTGAATGGTGACCTGTTAGAAAGTGGTGCTCAAAATTAGATGAGGTTTTGTTATTGCTATGAAAAAGCAACACACAGAGCATATCTGTGTTTCCAGGAGAGACATCCACTACTTTGGAATTAAGGTGTGTATCGTTGAGCCCGGGTTTTTCAAGACTGCAGTAACGAGCCTCGAACCCATTGAGAGGGAGCTCCATCGCCTGTGGAACCAACTCAGCCCTGAAGTAAAGGCCAGCTATGGAGACAAATACCTTGATAAATGTAAGTACAATGGGCCGTGGATCATCTGAAGCATTTTATTGATGCAGAATAGGTCAATTGTGTCACATTCTTACAGATTTTTTTTTTTTGACTCGTTTTTGTTTGTTTGTTTGTTTGTTTTGCTTTGATACACTAGGAATGAAATGTAACTGCTAATTTTAGATATAAAAAGTCACCTATTGAGAAGTGACTTCCAAGATTCATACATAACATTTAAATCCAAAAATATGTTTGTGTGCTTTTAAAAAAATGAAGTATAAAAATAAATCATTGAACATCAGATAAGAATGAAGGATTCTTGGAAATTGCAAGTTTACTGTGGCTTAAAAAAAATCACAAATTACTATCTGGTCACGATACATAATTCTCTTTTTAAGATGTCAATATACAGCGTTTGATCATGAATGCCGTCTGCGACTCTGACCTCACTAAAGTGACCAACTGCATGGAGCACGCTCTCTCTGCTGCCTACCCTCGCACCAGATACAGTGCTGGCTGGGATGCCAAGCTTGTCTGGATCCCCCTCTCTTACATGCCTTCCTTTGTAGTTGATATTGCACTGAAGCTCGTGCTTCCACGTCCTTCAAAGAGCGTCTGATTTGGGATGACCTACTTTATGTCATTTTGACGGAATAAGGAGGCTGACATTAAAAAAGTATTTTTTTCTTGATCTATTTTCCTTATCAGAGTTGGCCATGCGATGATAATATGACAACTTTAGAAATGACTGTTATTATATTTATAAGTGTATGCCATAGAAAAGTTTTTTTCCTCTGTAATGTCTCTTTGACACTTCTAGACAACACAAAAATACTCATACAGTTTACTGTATGCATATTATTCTGTTTGTTAGGTGTTTTAACGCTATTATTTAAGGTGCTTGTTATGGATGTTGTTCACCATGGAAGGCTAAATAAAGAACATTTTAATATTAAGAAACTGTGTTTGTCAGAATGCAAGGATGGGCATGCTGCTGAAACGGGAGTGAGAACGGGCTGCATACAGAAAGAAAATAAATAAAGCTTTGCTCTGAAACAATGTCTGCACGCTGAGCTACTGTTATGGGCAACATGAACACGGCAGTTAAATGAGAAGAAATATGCATATATGAAGACTCATGCACTGTATGTGTGTGATTGTCATGTTTTTAAGTTGTGTATGACTGTATTATTGTTGGATGTTTAAACATTATTTTATACTATTTTGTATACTTTCTAAATGCAGTTCAGTAGCTCCGGGACATTTTCCACTGACAGAGATGGAATTAATTACCATGATGGAGGGACAGTATTACTGTTTTATGTTTTTTAATGCAAAGAAGCAGATAGAGTGAGTCATCTGAACCACTAGAAGAAACAAGAAAACCAAAAAATATGTTTCGCCAGAACTGGGTTCAGTATTCTGTCACATTGCTACCCAACTATAAATGTACACCACATTACATTCAAACCTACTGACTGGAAAATCCACCAGGTGGTGCTAAAACATCGCATGAAAGTTTGAGAACTAAAGTGCTTAAAATTGCCGTACTATAAACATTAGATTTTTTTCCATAATGTAGCAAAAGCAGCTAAGTAATGCGTAAAATATTAATATTTCTTTCTTATGCGCGTTTTAATACTCCAACAGCTTTGGAGTTTCAGATTGGGAAATTTATTTCTAGCTTCTGACCGGCTCCTGTGCAGACTCTGCTGCTTTCAAATGCTCCTTGTAAAACTTTAACCACACTTCAAACGAGTATTTGTGGGGTTGTGGGTTGTGACACATTCTAGGCTGTTTTAATAATATAAACCTGTTTCTTGTTGTGCTGTTTAAGTAGTCGAGATCTCTATATATTTTAAGTTAAATCTTTTTTTCCAAGTAAATGAACTGTACTTGTAAAGGGCTTGTAAAAAAAAAAAAAAGTCCCACCTTTCCGATGACACATGAAGGTAACAAAACTTCAACTTCAGCCTAAAGCTGGTAAGTCAACAACCTCGCACGATCAGCTGGCGTCCAGCTCAGAAAATAACAGCAAGGTTATCTGTGTTGATTTCATCCTGAACGAACTATCGCGAAGGCTTTATTATGCCGTTTGTCGCAACCATGCATTTCCTGAACGCGCTGCGCCTGTCAAACTCTGCTCAACTAATGGTCAAAAATACAGATGTGGCGAAGAAAATTTTCCTCGTGCAACAAGCATGCTGTTTGGGCACGAAATCAATAACTCAGTTTCAGAGACGATCCCCTGCACTACAAGATCGTTTGCATCTGAAAATGTAAGTATGTGTGTGCTAAACTGGTGAGAATCAGCACCTTCTTACTGGTGTGAATTCGTTTAAACAGAACGCCTCCACACCATTAACTATTATCTGCCATATGCTGGTATATAATTATTTGTGCATGAGCAGTTGTTTTCTGTGTTATGGGCACAGAGAAACTATAGGAGGAAGAGAACAGTCACCATATGGACCTCCATATAGGTGGTTATGTCTGTGTGTGCAGCATGTGTAGGCTATAAAAGCAAACTTGTCTTTTATTTGTTGTTGTTGTTGTTGTTGTTTTTTAAGGGAATCCAACACTTCCTTTGATTGTTTTCCTCTTTTCAAGAGTGTGCTCTTCACTTCACCAGGAAAATGCATTCAAAGCCATCTGGTTCCGGAGTGGAAAACATGCTTTTCTACACCATCACAGAGGGAAAAGAGCAAGTGCCCATCTCATACTTTACAGCAGTAAGCAGACATCATCTGTACATTACTTTATATGCACTGTTGCCACTGAATATATCCTATCCTATTTATTGTACATACTGTGTGCAATGGCATTAATGCTGACAACTTCTTATTTGCAGGCACTGAAAAAAAATGGCCTTCACCCATCCGATCCTCGCCTTAAAGACTGCATGGAGAAGCTCCGAGAGGCCGTGAAGGAATCTGTTGGCGAGGTGATGATGGACAAAGACCTTTTCCACAGGTGACATGAGGCAACCAAGTCAAGCGGTTTCTCAAGGCTAAGAAAATGGATGTCAATAGCACCTCTAAAGCACACAGGCAGTTCAAAATGATTGGGAAATGAGTCAGTTAATCATGCTTTAATTAAACTAAAAAGAATCCAGTCTGACCAAAACTTAATTTAATTAAAGAATTATTTTTGTATTTTCCTGCAATTTGGTTCTGGAGCAATTTGGGGGGCATGGTCTTGTATATACAGGTTTACTACCAGGGCATTATGAATATAACAGAAATTTTACTGTGATTAGAAAGACTGTGCCTTTCCTAATGACAAGAGGAGCAGTCAACTCCACTGTAGTAGTCCATGATAACCCCCATATCTTGTAAATTTTACAAATGCAAACTGTTTAAAAGACAACCTCTATCTTCTACTGAAGTCCAACCAGTAGAAGATAGAGGAAAGTCTAGATAATTATTTTATATCACTTTGATTTTAAGTAGGCCTAACCATTGAAATTCTCTTTTCTAATGATGTAAAAAAAAGTTTTACACATTTAATCTCTGAGAATAATGTCAGAAAAAAAGTGGAATTACACAGTAAGTCCTAGATTTTCCATATGATATAGCAATGGTGATGTAGTAGATGAAATAATTGAAATAAATCTTTCACAAGACAGGAAACAAGAATTTCTGGTAGCTAATTGTTCAGAATTTCCTGCAATTACAAAACAGAAAGTTTCTCTTAATTTACAGAGAATGCTCTTTTCTTGTGGATTCACTGTAAAGTCAGTATTAAAAAACAGAAACTTTTCTCTTATTTAAATACTCATATATTTTTTAATTACTGTGGTGTAATATAAATTGTGACGGGGGAGGTCTTTAAAAGCATAAAATGCTGCAAAACCTATTAAAATACAGTTAAAAATACAAAAATTTATAACCCCTTCACATTTTCCAAAGCTGTCCATTATGCCAATTCTGGCCCCTGGGCCTTAAGTTTAATACCCATGGTCTAGCTGGAAATGTGTGCACTTTTTTAACTTAATAAACAAAGCATTTTACAATTAGGACACAGAGATCAGATCAGTAACCCTGTGGTTATTGGACAGCGAGCCTGAGCCGCAGCTGCCTCTGTCTACAGAGTGTGATTCAATTTGGAAAAATGGCTTACATTGCTGGTAAACGCTTTATGTCTTTGATCACTACAAATCAAATGAGGCTAAGTTTCATTGCATTAGGTTTATTTACACTCAGTACGTCGACCCTCGCGGTGAACTGCCTGTAAGTGCTGACATTTAACTGTTAGTCCTGTGGCTGCTGGAGATATAGTTTTGCTCCCTTTGTTTAGTTTTTTTTGTTGTTTTGGTTATTTCATTGTGGGGTTTTTTTATTATTAATATTATTTCTTATGCCACTCTGTGAAACCAATGCAGTCTGTGGATAAGCCCATGATTTGTCATTTGTGTGTCAGTTTAGCAAGTCAGAAATCAAGTTAAGAAAATGGCACACAGAATAACTTTTAGCAAACTCTAAAGGGCAACAGTGGCCAAGAAAAATGGATCTAATGCGGCAGTTGACAGGAAATTTAACTTTACATTTCTCCCACAATTGGGAAAAATGTTGTTTTTTTTATGGGACTTAATCTTCGTTACACTATCCCTCAGAGAGGGCTATCTTAGCTGTGACAGTCCATGGTGTTTTGTTTTCCATGCATGAGGAAGCAGGTGCAGGCATGAGACCAAACTATTTTTAGCCTGACCTTCCACTAACAATCCATTTTAGTACAGGATTTGTTGTATGTGATGTTATGCGTAATTGTTTCTCTCTTCTTTTGTCTTCCACGTACTTTATGTTCAGTCATTCAGACAGGTTTAAAAATGATAAGGCGGAACTATAGAATGTGGAAGAAGTCGGAACTAAATGGACAACATTTTATACAATTTTTAAGGCTATGGCTTCTGGTGTCACAAATTGTGCGCATACAAATTTTTTTCTTTATAAATAATAAATTGAAAAATGATACACTGTATAATGTAATGCAAATACGTACAGATATAGCTTAAGAATGTTAGATTTTTCATACAGTAATAAATTCACACATATTGTAATGTCATAATTAATTACATGCATTTCATCAAGATCCATCCCAAACATGGAGGTGTGAAAGTCGGTGTCAGGACATGTCAGTTTTATTCACTGTTGTTTTGATCAAAGGAACAGCTTCTCACACTTAATGAAAACTGACAGCTGCTGGCTTCCACTTACTCTAGAGGCTACGCACACACACACACACACACACACACACACACACACACACACACACTCGTGTGTGTACTCATATCCTTGTGGGGACATCTAATTGACATAATGCTTTTCTTTCCCTAGTCCCTTACCCTAACACTAGCCATCAAAAATAAATGCCTAACCCTAACCTAAACTCTCTTAATACCGAACCATAACCCAATTGTATCTCTTTAACTAAAACCGCATTTTGAATCTGAAATGCCTTCAAACTTGTGGAGACCGGGATTTTGGTCCCCATAAGGGCTATTGGTCCCCACAAGTATAGTAAACTTCCATTCTTTGGTCCCCACAATGATGTCTAAACAGGTACACAAACAACACGCACACGCACACATAATGAAAGTATTTTCTTTTTATTTAGGGCTCTTGAGTAATTCTGCATTATGCTGTTTTTGTCTTAGATGTGTAGGAGGAAACATTGTTCTGCTAATCCAGGCCTTCAGGAAGAAGTTTATAATCCCTGAGTTTGACCTGTTTGTACAGAAAATAAATGAAATCTACGAAAAAGTGCAGAAGCAAAGTGATGGGAAGGTAAACATTTTCTAATTTAGTTTTCCATGCTATGATGGTTTATTTGCTGCGTAAAGCTTTCTCTTAATTCATCCTGCTGCCCCAATATCTGCACACATTAAACATAATACTTGATGAGTAAATAAGGAATCTCTTCTACTACATTAACATTAGTTCTAACAATTACTTCTGAATGAGCATTACTTCTGTCTTAACTTCAACTGTGTTTCTCATTGTGACTGCAGGTTGCAGACTACATTCCCCAGCTAGCTAAATTCAGCCCAGAGCTATGGGGTGTGTCTTTGTGTACAGTTGACGGACAGAGGTAGGAACTAAACATTTGAATAATCTAAATGAGAGTCTTTTGTGAGATTTGTAGAGACCCATAGAGCTATTTTATTCATATATTATGAGATTCCTCATTAGATTGTGATTTCCCAGCTATCACTGAATGACAGCCGGGAACAAAGATTCTTCTTGGCTAGTGTGTAACTAGATTTATTTGATTTGACATATTCTTTGTAAGACAATTTGATGTGAAATTTTTTTTTACAGAACATCAGCCTAATGTTTTGCTGTACTTTTGTTTTATTTTTGTCCAATTTTGAGTCACAGACTTACTGATACACATTTCTGTAATCAAAATCTAATTTTTAGTTCCAGTCTTATAATCTTCATACACAGTGCATTTGCTACAGATTTCAGAAGGTGGATCAAATATAAATGAGCGTTCTCTCAGTCTCTACTTAAACATAGTTCATACGTTTTTTAAAAAGTGATACTGCACATTCAGTATGACTGTCACTTTATTTTCAAGATTGTGTAGGCTCTAAAGGTCTATTCTGTTTTCATTTTGCAGGCACTCAGTAGGCCACACCAAACAGCCGTTTTGCCTGCAGTCCTGCGTGAAGCCCCTGCAGTATGCCATTGCTGTACATGAGTCAGAAACTGAGAAGGTTCACCGCTATGTTGGCATGGAGCCCAGTGGACTCAAGTTCAATGTGCTTTCACTTGATGATGAAGGTATGTAAAGCCTCATTACCTCCTATTGGATTATAAAAATCTATCAATGCAATCAGCGTGCGGAAATGACACCTAAAGTTCAAAGAAATCTAGTTATGATGCATCTAGCACAGCACATAACATGTATCTTAGTTTCCTTTTATTCCTGCATAAGTGCTAAACTAACTGGATGAACAATGTCTTCGTCCAGATGAAACCCGAATTTATATTCTCATAATAATTTTATCATAATGTTTCTTTATTCTTCTGCTTAATATCAAGCTGTGTTACTCTGACACAGAATTTAGGTCCTTTACAACTGTCACTGACACTGGTTTCCTTCTCTGAGAAATACTGTGAAATTCAGGCCATTTCTGTTCCACCGAGTCAAATTTTACACCAATAATAATTAATGAAATGTAATAAACTGATTAGTTGCTATTTTGGTAACAAGGTAGTGTTTGTAATTGTTTTTCAGTTAAAAAAAAGAACAAATATTTGCTGGTTGCCCTTTTTAAAAAAAAAAAATTGGTAACACAATATACATTTAAAGACATTTTGTAAATTTGTTTTTGCAGTACTTTTTTGGTACAAATATTATTCTGTTATTCAGATTATATTTCAAGCACATTAGGAATTTTGTCAGGACCCTGTTTTTAAAATATGCACTCGTGGTCAGAAATTTACATATACCCATCATGAGCATGTATGTTTGGTGGTAATTTCAGAAATTTTAATGATTTCTTTGAATGTGGAATGATTGTACAGCTTTATTTTGAAAAATATGAAAATATTTTATCAAAAAAAGAATTTGGTGCACAAATTTGAATATGCTTTGTAATTTCTCTAATCTAAAAAGGTTAAAAATAGGGCTGGGTATCGTCACTGATTTCTAGAATCGATTCAATTCCGATTCACAAGGTCCCGAATCGATTCGATCCACGATTCGATT